CTCTCTCTCTCTCTCTCTCTCTCTCTCTCTCTCTCTGTCTATATATATATATATAGATACATATATTTCTATCCCTTTCGTTGGCTGTATTTCTCTTTCTCTCTCTCTGTCCCCCGCTCACTTCCTTACTCTCTTTCTCATTCGTTTGCTGTTTCTCTCTCTCCGTTGCTGCTTCTCTCTCATTGCTTATTCTAGTCTTGTTCACTAATGACTCTCACTTCAATAAATTGTGCACTAAACTCTAACTCAATGTCTATTAACATATATATCCCATCATTATCATCCGCCTTCCTCATCTTAAGCAACCTTTAAGTGTATGAAAATCTTGAGAATTTCGCCAGTTGCTCAACCAAATTTGACTGTACATTATTATTATCTTGAGCAATTATTTTAGCTGTTATTTGTGAAACGAGATCAACTCAAGTTTAATTGCAAATGAAGATGACGCTGCTTAAGAGCTTCCCCATTAACTGGACCAAAAATAGAAACTTGTTGAGGTAACTGGTGGTGATAATTATTGAATTCCATGACTCTTATATGAATAGCAAATGAGGCTTTTAATTGCGACAGAGCTCCACTCCACTAGAGCTGTGGCTCACCTGCACTTCTCCAGACGCAGCGTCTGCGTGTGCTGTCCCGTGTTGACGATGAACTTCCACTCGCCCGACGCTGCCTTGGCCTTCTGTGGCCGGGCGTAGCGGACGACGCTCTGGCACATGCTGCCGGCGGAGCCCTCGTCCTCACGCCTAGGTGGTTTCACATGCAAGAGAAAGGCAATCAAAAAAGTTATTTTAAGGCAAACGATTTCTAAAGATCATTCGATCTGCTGATCTGTCGATCTTCTGCTCCACTCACCGCTTTTTATTGACAATATAATCGTCGAACTCGTCACCGAACTCGAGATTGTTGTTGGGCTTATCGTAGAACTCGGCCAGCAGAGCGCTCATCGCATTCTTGTGCCGCCTGATGCTGCCCATGATCTGTTCGCTGCGTGGAGGTGAAAGTGAAGAGTGTTGTGTGTGAGGAAGAGAGTGTTTGGCTGACGTTAAGTATGAGAGGGAGGAGGGGAATCACCAAGAACCGACAACCAACAACCGACCACCGAAACCACTATACTATGTATACGTGTGCAAAAGCAATTGGAGGAGGTGTACCAGAAATAAATTACTTTTTATTTTTAAGCTAAACATCTTACGACAACTAGACTAAGGCGGGAAACGAGAGCAAACCAACCAACTAACTAAGCGGATCTTACAGCGGATAGTCGTCGGTACGGATGCACATGTTGTTGGTGAACCGCTCGCACTTCTTGTGCCCCACCACGACGGGGCTGTGGGCGCTGGCCGACGTCTTTGGCCGGCTGCGACTGTAGGGGGAGTTCTGCACGCGCTTCCGCTTGATGGGCGGCATCTTGTGGCTGACCGGCGGTCGCTTGTGGCTGCGATAGCGTGGGCCCGCAATCAGCTCCTCGGGACTGGGCAGCGGCTCCTCGGCGCTGCTGCTGCTGCTGTTGTTGCCGTTGCTCACCTCATAGAGCCGCTCGTCCGCAGAGATCGGCAGCTGGGTGCCGTTGAGGCCGGCAAAGGCGAGATCTTCGATTTCCTCATACGACTGCGTAGGCGTGGGCGGCAATGTGGAGGCGGTGGCTGTGGCTGCGGCAGTGGCTGCAGTTGCAGCCACAGTGGTTGTGCCCGCACCGCTGGGCTGCTGAAAGGCGGTGGTGTTCAGCTTGATAGTCCGGCCCGCTGCACCGCCCAGCAGCTGCTGCTCGCTCACCGAGACGGGCACAGAGCGCGTCAGCTTGTGCACAAATTCGTTGGCTGCGCGTCGCACACGCCGGCCGCGAGTGGTGTTCGCCTTGCGCGGTGGCAGCGGCTGTGGGGCAGTGAGCGCCTCATTGATCATCTGCGGATCGAGCACCTCCGATTGCATCTCCTCGAAAAAGTCCTCCAGTGAGCTGGCCGCCTGCTCCTGATCCGCCGCCGGCTGGCTGCTCACATCAATTGTGCCCACGCTGTCGTCCTGCTCCGACTCCTCCACAGTCAGCAGATCTTTGCGCTTCTGCAGCGGCGTCTGTCGCATTGCAACAGCTGCCAAGTCGCTGCCCAGCTGGATGTACTTGCGCGCCGAGCTCCGCACCAGATTCGCCAGATCGTAGACAATGGGCAGCAGCAGCTTCTTATCGTCCCCGAACATCATGCGAACCTGCAAGCCAAAGGGAAGAATTAGACAAAGCCCAGCTGTAGGTGGTTGCAGGAGAATCTCTTTGGGAGATGAAGTCTCTCTCTCTCCTCTCAGAGATTTCACTGTAGTGTAGGCGTGGCTCACCTGCTCGAGCCGCAGTTCATGACCCTGTTTGGCATTCATCTGAGCCGAGATCAAAGCCGAGAGTGCCAAACGCTGCTGCGAGGATAGGACACGCAGTATGGGCATCACTTCAGCGAACTTCTGGCGCAGCGCGCGATCCGTCAGAGCCTTGGCCAGTGCCGTGCGCAGCATACGCTCACGCCAATCGAATTGCGGCAGCTGTTTCTCCGGCTCCGGTTCATCCAGGTCCACACTAAAGTCCAGCATGTTGTCCTCTAGCTTCTTTTCGGCCTCTTGCGCCGCCAGCTGCTCGTCGGCCAGCTGCCAGTCATCGTTGCTGGCTGCGGCGTTATCCACCTCCTTGGCATCGGCAAAATCGAAATCCAGCAGCTCCTCCTCGCTGGCGTTGACCAGGTCCAGGTATAGCACACAATAGAGCAACGCCCAGAAGAGGCAGCCGAACGCGCGGCCCGCTTTCATTTTCCGCTGCGAAACAAACGAAAGTTGATGAGAAAATGGGCGTTCAGATTGCAGTTATTAAGACGAAATTAAATTCCACAAATAAAAGCACTCAAAACTCACAACAGAAACAAAACTCTAATAAAAGCCACACAGAAAACAGAAAACAACGAAAATAATTTGTTATTATGCGTCGCACGCTTTCAACGGCTCATTCTAAACGAAAGACTTAGGCAACGAACTTTTGCTTTCATTGCCACGGATTTAAATTTATTTTCTACGCCTTTCCAGCTGAAAGTAAAAGCCATTAACAATTGTAATAAAGCCGTAAACAGCAGCACTTGCAGTCACCGCACCACCGCACCACCACACCACCACACACGATGTCAGCGGTAAGCATAATCAAGTCATGACAGCGGCGATTACAGCAGCCACCGCTGCTGCTTTTAGGTAATCGCCATTGGCCTAGCCATATAGCCATAGCCATAGCCATATTCATAGCTAACGCTAAATCACAGTCATAGAGCAGTCATCGCCACATTGTGGCCAACATCCACATCATCTTCTTTGCCTGCTCAACAAGGCGTGAAGCATCAAACAACTCATAAGTGTCGTTGTCAGTGTTGTTGTTGTTGGTTGCTGTTACTGTGGTGTGGTGTGGTGGCTGCTGTTGCTGTTGTGTGGCTGCTGTCAGGTTTGCAGTCATAAATCAGGCAACCTCTGCGCTGATCTATGCAGTGAAATGGGCAAAGACCTTGTGGTTGATAGATAGCCCACCTATTACACTATGCAACAGCATTGCGGCACTCGGCAGATGTAATAATTTAATATGCCAAGACCATAACAGTAATGGGCTTTCCTTTTGCTTCTGATCGCATATAATGGAAAAAGTTTCAGCCTGAAGCCCCATTAATGCGGAAGTCTGGGCTTAACAGAGTGTAACTCGCATGTCGTCGCTCTTTCAGCTCACACTGATTGGCATGCATCCAAAATAGTTTTCAATTTGCACATTTACTGACATACATCTATAGGATACAAATTGATGAAGTCATTGGGTATTACTATTATTACTGGAGATATAGAGAATCCTTTTTTCTTTGGTCTATAGACTCTTGCCTTCAATAAAAGTCTAAATTAGCTAGAAATTGTACTTGGTCTGAATAAAATATTCTTTAACTTTAAATGAGTGTATTTTATTAATTTACTAAAATTTTTGTATTTTGAATTCCGTCGCTAGACCTCCACTATGAAGATCAAAAGAACATTGAGTCCTACAATCGATCGACAATTTCAGAGTTTTTTTTTCGATAGTTCCTCTCAATGAAGATTCTGAATAAATATATTGCAATATATCTTCAATTTTCAAATGCAGTGAGATACTGATCAATATGCTAAAAATATGTATTTTATATAATATTTATATAATAAACGTGATATATATGAAGCACAACAGAAATATATATAGAAATGAAATTTTCAATCAATCTCCGCTAATCATCGGAATGTGTATCAGACAGTTAATTATGCGCATATACATATACACATACATACATACATAAATCTTAGCTTCACAATGCAAATCTGGAATGTTCCAAAAATGTTCGAGTTTGAGTTAAACAACAAAGGAAAATAGAAAGAGATTTATATATTAATTTATTATAATATAAAACGAAATTTTATTATGTGAAGTATTTTATAAATTTCCCTCATATATAGACGTGCTAAGCCCATTTATAATTAGCTCAAATTCATTTAGTATCTTTAACTATTTCTCAATCAGACTGAAGCTGCTGCATTTCACAAAATGAACTCCCCATTGAGCAGCGAATCATGCTTCTGCCCTCAGCTTGAACTTGCCCACATTCATTTACATACATATATTTCTATAAATATATTTGGTTTTGTTTTTTATATCTGCTGTCACACAATGGAAATGCTTGCGCCCACGGAATGCCAACAATTGCATTCGAAAGTGCTCGTCTGTGAATGCCAATGGGAGCTGACAAATTCGAATGCTAACAACACCCAGTCTGAAGGCACGGCTGCTTGGCTGGCTGCCAGCAGCTCCTTGGGGCATCGTTAACGGCAACATCCCGCAGTTGCAGTTGCTGACGCTGATGCTGCTGCAGATGCGCTGACCTTTGCGCCATTGAAAAGTGAAAACTTGGCTTGGGCTAGCTCGGCTTTATCTATCGACTGGTTGACAGTTTAGAAAAGGCGCCACACACTCAACCAAAACAAGTCACAAGGCCAGTAAATAACACACAATCACACACATATATATGTATATACAAAGAGCCGCCAGCAGCATCTTCAGTGTGCACTATGGCCGCCCCCAGCTGCCAACGAGCTGCGATTTGTGCACATCGTTTCTTTTGGCTTTATGCCTTGCGCAGGTCGTGAGGATGTTGCCGTTTTGGCCATATCTTCAATTTATTTTGCACACCTGCGCACAGAATGCCATTGGCCAAGCTCAATGGCCTGAGGCGCGAAGGAGAGAGAGAGATGGAGAGGGAAGCGCTTCTGGTTTTTAGCTTTTTTGTGCGGCCTTTTGCATATGCTGTGCTGGGATGCGCTGGGCTCTGGGAAAGTGTTGTCATGTTGCCGTATTGCAATGATGCCATAAATCAAATTAAACCAATAAGGCGAGCTGCAATGCGCTTCCCACGGGCCTGAGCTGAGTAAAAGTGAATAGACATACAAATTGCTGGCGCTGTTCGAATGCTCAATTGCAGATGCTGATGCTGCTGCTACTGCAAAATAATTTCACTGCAAATTCTTTGGTTATCTTAATTAGCTTACGATTCGCGTGCGTTGCGCCGTGCAACAGACACAAACTGGGCCAGTCGAAAAACACATCAAGCAGCAAAAAAGCAGCGATAAAGCGGCGCTGCAATAAGAGAAACAGCCGCAAGCAGCAAGAAAGTCGCGCGTCGAGAATCCTATAAGCAGAAACCAAGCTGCAGCAACAACAACCACAGAAACAACAACAACAACAACAACTAACCGACTAACCTAGTAAGCTCAGAACTCGCAGAACGAGCTAGACAGAGAGTTCGAAGTTGTGTGGCGCGTTGGATATCGAAGAGCCAAAAGCTGAACATTATTGATGGCGCGTGCTGACACATTCAATTTGCCGGCCCTAAACGAGAGACTTAGGCAACGAACTTGACGCCATTAAGCAAACAGCGGCAACAACAACAGCACCAACAACACGCAGCTCACGCACAGCTTAACCAGCTGACACAATTTCCTCGGGCGTAAAGAATATAAAAAAAACAAAATTAAACGAAAAAAAAGAATTCAAATTTTTTTGAGGTGCTTCGTTATTGTTGTTGTTTTTGTTTCTTTTAGAAAGTTGTTTCCATTTCACATATTTGGCTAAAGAAATAAACATAAAAAAGATTCCATTTTCGATTTGTGGCTGTTGTTTTATGATGAATTCATTTTGGCCAAGAAATCAGTTCGTTCGACTCGTTTATTTCCGCAGTCAACAAAATAATATCTTCTATCACAAATTTTCACTTTTGTTTCTGACATTTGAATTGGCAAACATATAGAAGATATATATTTCGATGTACGACTTGTGTTTACTTTTAAGCTAAGACAATCACCTTCGGCCTCGTTTAATTGCTGAGAATTGCAGCTAAAACGGCTTCTTCACCAATTTTCACTTTTTTCCTTCTTTACTTCTTTACGTCTTCACTTCTTGTAGGCAAATTTTCACAGATTTCACACGCGCCTTAAGCTGCGGCCGCAGCGCTTCTCCGCCCAGATCGAGAGCAGGAGAGTAGTAGAGCAAACAAATCTCGTGTGTGTGTGTGTGTGTTAGTGTGCGCTTGTTTCTCTTCAAGTCTATAAATAACTGTTCACTGCTGCCGCTTGCACACGTCTTAACGCTTTCAACACTCGCCGGCGACTGTTTGCAGAGCTGCCGCAGCGGCAGCTGCTGCTGCTGCTGTCTCTGCTGCTGGCGCTGCCTCGGTCGCTGTCTCGGCTGGCTGCGCCGTTGGTTCTGCTGCGACGTGTTTACATTAAATTGCCAATTGTCTAATTGCTTTTCTTTTGCAGTTCGCTGAACCGTTAGCTTGGCATTAAAATTCACAATTTCAATTTGCTAAATAGCTCGCACGTAATGCGGAAGCTCTAACATTTACGCCTCATTTACAAAGTTCGTGTCTTAAGTCATTTGATTTTTTTCTATTTTCTTTTATTTATTTCTGTTTTTATTTTTTTTTAATAACTCCAGTGGGTCAGGAAGCATACAGCCCTAACGGAAGCTTGACAAATATGCATAACTAACTAACTAGCTGCTGTTGACGCTGCACGACTCTCAACAGCTTTTTTGTTTTTTTCTTTTTCAACGGGGGTCAGCGCAAATCAATTTAATAAGACAGACAGGCCAGACAAACTTTCGTTTTTTGTTGCCAAACAGCCCTCGGCCGTGACTTTAACTGCACAGTTAGCGCCTCTCGCTCACCTCTAATTGAACTGCACTGGCTGAGCCAGCGGCTATTACGCTATTAGAGCCACTTTTCTGCACTTTATTGTTATGGCTCTATCGTGGCGGGGCTGCGTGAAAATCATAAATAATAGACGCCTTTGTTGCCACTTGAGGATTTGCTTCACACTTTCTTAGCACAGCGGCTGCATTTTATTTCTCTTTTCACGCAATGCGTTTCGAGCCTACGCACATTGTACTATTTATGAGCATTAAATCGTATTACCGCATCGCTGGCGTTTCTGTTTTTTTTATTGCGGCGTCATCAATCAGCAGCAAAAAACTCACTTGATAAACTTTTTTATAAGACGAAAAAGAAAAAAAAAAAAAACGAAAACTTTTCCGCTGTGCCATAAAATGCAAAGAGCATGGCTAATTTGCGAATTACCGTCAGGCAGTGTAATATAGTTGTTGTCTAGCTACTTTTAACGACCAAATTGCTGGCAGTCATAGCTGTTATCCCTTGATTGATGTTCCAGCAGCGGCTCCATTTGCTGCTGCTCCTCCTCAGTTCCTCAATTGTGTGGCAATGAGGAAAATGGCCAGGTGCTGTGCTTATGCAGCTGAACTTTTATAATTCGAATCGAACAGCTCATTAATATGCTGCCTAAATGCATAGCGTTTGGCTAATTATGCATAAAGTCTAGCCGAGAATAAGCTTGGCTCTGATGCGTGAAACAGTTTCCGGTTTGATCAGGCTTCAAGGTGAGCTGCAATTTTTAAATGTTTACCCAATCATCTTCTACATTGGCTTGAGCTTATGTAAATAATAAAATATATTTAAACTAGTTTTTACACATTGATTTACTTCATTTCAGTTGCTTAACGGACCAAGTTCACAAGAACCAGCTCCAGCTGGAGCGTGTTGCCGTTGCCAGCTGTCTGCAATCAGCTTGGGCACTTTAGTTCAACAAGCTGGCAGCCCTATTGGCTAGAAAGCTGCGCTGCCAGCTTGTTGAAAAAAAGCTGAGAGAAAGTTTACCTTACACTGCGCTCAGCTTTTATAGCAACAAAAGCTCTAAGATCTTGTACAGGTCGGAACTGAGATTAAGCCTAATTATTTCACTGCTTTATCTACATAGGTATTATTTAGATTAGGTCAGGCTTGCATATATTCATCTGAGTTTGTCGAGCTCTAAATAATATATCCATCTAAAAGGCAATTTTGTAGATAAAGTGGAACTGTGTATATGTTAAAATTTCAAGGAATTCATATATCAATGCCATACACTTTTCTACTCGTAAAACTGATAACTTTTGATTGGCATTTAAAAATTTTTAATCGTTTTTGATAAATATATATTTTCAGCCATATTCAAGCCAGTGGGTCCACCAATTATATAAGATGAAAACGGTTGATTAAGCCAATCAGTTGATCATATATACAGCTGCCCATTCAGTCAATTTACCCATCAGCTGGAAAGACAAAAGTCATTCAATCAATTAACCAGAACGACAATTGGCTGATTGACTCAGTCAGTTCAAAATACAACCTAATCATTCAGACCACCAATCAATCCACTGAAAAACAACCCGTCATTCAATCAATCAATTAGAATGCCACTCAGTCTGTCAATCAAAAAATCAATATTTCATATTAAAAGACTCTTCAACTGGTGTAAATATTAATTATATTTTGTGTTTAATTAATTTATTTGTACAATTATATATTTCTATACAGATATTCATATATATTATTTCGATTTTATATACGTCGATAACAATAATATCAACTCCTACATTACATACGAATCATTTGTTGCAAAACTAAGATCTGGTGTGGTATTATGTGTGGTGCAGTTAACTCGACTAAGGCTACGATTACGTAATGCGGCTCAACTTGGGAGAAAAATGAATTGGTTGTTTAGATATAGACTAGAAGAACTAAGTGACTAATATCAACTAAGCACAAGTAGCGCCATTTAATTAAACATAGATCCTAAATCATAAAATAAACTGTGCATATCAAATATTTAGTATATATATACAAATCGATCGAGAGGAAAAGAGAGAGAGAGAGAGAGAGGTCTCAATCGATAAAGAGGGAAAGATAGAGAATACAAATAATACTGCTCGACAAGCACGCTAATTTCGAAATGGAGGACAGTTACGTAGGGGTGTGGCATGTGTGTGTGTGTGTGTGAATGAGCCTGATGTACATATATTAGTTGGTGGGCAATGGCGACGTGGTGTGCAGGTGGATGCTGATGGAGGTTTGGTGGTTGGGGTGGTTCAGTCAACGTCATATTTCGCACTCGAACTCCGAGATGCGATGGTTGAAGTAGACAACGCCATGCTCGAGATCCTCACTGAAGCCGCTCACATCCATATAGTCGGAGGCGGCGGAATCGTCCTCCACCCACTTGTGCAGCGAGCGGGTGATTTCCAGGCGCGACTGTGCGAACGAGGGTCGCATGTGCGGCTCCTTGTGCCAGCAGCGGGACATCAGATTGTAGAACTCGTGCCGGCTCTCCTTTGGCAATTCCGGGCGCAGACCCTGCGGCACACGGCGGATGACCTCACGGCCCGTCAGATGAGAGTAGGGCGTTGAGCCTGAAGGAACAAAAACAGGAGATTAGTATATGCTAGAGATATATTGTATCGATTCCTACCCAGTGTGGCAATCTCCCAGAGGACAATGCCAAACGCCCAGATGTCCGTTTCGGTGGTGAACATGTGAAACTGTAAGCTCTCTGGCGCCATCCAGCGTATGGGCAGTGCATGCCGCTTGCCAATCGTGTCATGGCCATGATGCTTCTTCTCGGACGACGTCTGGTCCTTGGAGCAGCCGCCGCCGTGCTGGCCATGCTGGCCAAAGGTCTGCTGCCAGTGCTGCAGTATGTAGCGACTGCCAAAGTCGAATTTGAATTTGTTCGCATTGCTGCGCAGGATGTCGTTCGCCGCATTCTTCTCCTGCTCCTTGCGCATGCGCTCTGCGTCCAGATCAATGGACATGCCAAAATCACAAATCTTGCACATGCCATTGTGATCGAGCAGGACATTGCGCGCCGCCAGATCGCGATGGACAATCTGGGAATGAGATGAGGCGGGGATGAGTGATGAACTCTCGCGAAGAGCTGGGAGCTTAGCTTACCCTATGCCCGGCTATGTACTCCATGCCGCAGGCGATATCCAAAGCGAAGCCCGCCAGAGTGCGCGGCGAGAGCGGCGCCAGGCTGCGTCCACCCGGCACAGAGGCGGGCAGAATATTCGTGGCACTGCGCGCGGCACGCAGCAGCGAGAGCAGGCGTCCGCGCATCGCATACTCCATGATCAGCATGTGGGGCTCTGCGAGGGAAATACGAGAAATGAGGATTCAGTTTCAGACTGGATGCAACAACTCCATTGCCAACACTTACCGCTCTCCACGCAAGCGCCCAGCAGTGTGACCACGTTCTGGTGCGAGCCCAGCTTGCGCATGATGTTGGCCTCGTCCTTGAGGCTCACCTGGGCGCTGCAGGCGCGTATCGTCTTGACGGCCACGATTCGCGTGGCTCCGAAATGTCCACTCAGATCATCGGCCTCCGCCTTCCACACCTGGCCAAAGTTGCCCTCGCCCAGCAGACTCTTCAAGCGGATGTTGCTGCGGTCGAACTCCTGGTACTCGCTGGCCAACGACGATTTGTCCTCGTAGCGATTGTGATTCGCATCGCGCTGTTGCTGCAACTGTTGCTGCTGCTGCTGCTGCTGTTGTGCATGATGCTGCTGCTGCTGCTGCTGCTGGAACTGTTGCTGTTGCTGTTGGTGCTGCTGGTGATCGACCTCATCTTCATCCAGCTCCAGCTGATATTTGGAGTCCACCTTCTTAACCGGGCTTATGGGCTGCTGATCTGTGATGCACACATCGAAGACGTCGTCCGCCTTGGAGCGTCGTCGCACCACATAGTTGCGCACCATGTACATGACAATGGCCACCAGTGGCACCACGCCCACCGCCACCAGCACCAGTGTGACCAGATTCATGCGCCTCATCTCCATGCTCACATCGCGCTCCTCTGCAATGGCCGTCGAGCTAATGTCCGAGGCAGCCACTGAGGAAGAGGAAGAGGAGGAGGACGACGACTCCACCACTCCAATGAAAACGTTGGCAGCCTGCGCTTTCGCCGGGCTGGCCGGACTTGGGGTGGTGCGCGGATTGACGGTGGAGCGCACAGATGTCAGCACAGTGGTGCGCAATATCTTCGAGTTCGAGCTGGAGTCGGTGGTGGGTGCGTACTGTGTGGTGCGCGGTGTCGCCTCGCAGTTGGCGGTGCTGTTGCAGAAGATGATCAAGTTATTCTGATCCTCGATGTTGATCTCCTGCGTGAGCGAGGGACCCAAGGCGCGCAGTCGCTCCTTGTCCTCCTCGATGATGGTCATGTGCTTGGCCGACAGAGTGGTTGTAGTGCCGACTGTG